ATAATAACAAAGACTTCAGTTCATAAAGCTGTATGAAGAAAATAAGAGTAAAACTGGGACCCTGCAACAGGCTACTATAGGAAGTGCAGGGAAAGCACAATACTACTGAACAGAAATGAAAGACAGCATTCCCCCGTAACATAATGGGAGAGAGGAAAAAACCATGCAGTATAAGCTGTGTAATCCAAGCAGCCATATACAGCTCTGTATTAAACACAGAACAAAAAGACAAGAAGCTTCTTTGAAGATTAGGATTTCAACTCCTGTCATTCAAGAGCTATTTATACAAAACATAGAAGACCTACATAAATATGTGAAAATCTTCAGGTTACAAAGGATATCCACTTACTGCACATTCAGACCAAATGCTTAGAGTGATTTTACAAAGGACATGGCAAACTTAACACATCCTTCTGGTCAACACTTTGGTAGCAACCATCCCCAAAAAGTGTGGGTGCAATAAAATGAGAACCCGAACAGGATAAGGAAGTCTGAAGGTCAGACCCTCTAGCCCTATCAACAATAGCAGACTTGAAGCCCTGTGTGTGATCTGACCACTATAAAAGGACAATAAGACATTGTGTCAGCATGGCTTACATGGGGATTAGGTAATTGAGTCAAATGATTTAAATGTGGTAACAAAAAAAGACTTAATCACAGTGAAATAACTGATACATGTCACCAGAGGAAAGAGTAAAAAAGCACATTATCACTTAAACCTGTCTTTCGGAAACTGTAAAATAGGGTTACTACCCAAGCCTGAACAGAATTTTTATAGTGGTATTATACCATCTATAATATTGTTGTTGCTACTGGGAGCTGCACATAAATGTCAAGATCATCATACCAGATTACCCAAAACACAGAGGATGGTGTAGACACTGACAAACCTACGTTGTGGAAATTGGGCTTTGGAAACAACAACAAAAATCACAGCTCTTACCCTTATTTAGTAGCCTTTGTGCCTGAAGACAACAGTTGCCATGTTTTGGCAAGCCTAAGGACAGAGTAGTTGCCAGTAACTTTTTGGACTGAATGGATTTTCTTTGACCACGATCATCAGTGTCAGGTGCTTCAGAGACACATGACAGAAAATCCAAAGCAGATGATTACAAAATTACAGTCACCAAGACAAGATTTCTTCCTGCCTCCCATCTGTTAGAGGTTATTTAAACTACAGATAGGTAGAACATAAACTACCTTTTATGTCTGCCTGTGATTTTGGTGTTTCTCTAGGCTTTAGTACAGAACTGGATATTCCCACCATCTGTACCAACATCCTCCTTAAAATTATGCTATTCTTCCAGCATTCATGTCTTCTGGTAATAAGTTCCACATGACAACTGCTCCTAGTTCCTGCTCTTTTCCCAGTTTCAAGTTTTCTCTTTCAAACACTGACAGTTCTCCTGGTGTTTTTATTAACAAAACAAAACAAGATTATGATCTTTCTATCTTACAGCATCTTCCTTTTCCTAGAGGTTCTATCCAGTCTTCAGTTACTCTTCTGTTACATGGTCCTGTCTCTTCTCTGCTACATTATTTCCGACACTGTGAGAACACCACTGTATCCTCCCCCCTTTTCCAATGAGCAATTACATAATTCATTCCTCTGTTCTTCTAGGTAGTATTTCAGATTTATAGAGACAAGAGAAAATAGGAACAGCCTGAGGAAGAAACAGACAGAACACAATTGGACTGGAAAAGTAAATGAAAAATACCAATCAGCTTTCCAAAGGTCTGCAGGGCATAAAACAGATTTATCCTATTTCATCAAATGCTGAACTTAAGGAAAAAAAATAAATGCAAGTTATTCTTTCTCCACATAATCGTATAGATCTTCGCACAAGATAATGTAGATAATGCATAAGAAGCGGGGATACATGGGTATAAGTTCACTTTCAAAGCAGTGGGTTATTATTTTTTAAGGGAAATTCATCACCAGACAAATGCCTGTTTTTAGACCTCAAAAAGAAGCATCTCTGGACAGGGAAAAACACCCATACAGCCCACACTCGAGCTCCTGAATGTATAAGCACATTTTTCGTGACTGGATCCACAGTTACTGCTGGCAGTTCACAAGCTAAAATGAATAAGCTCTCTCCCATTTCCAAAGCAGATTATCAAAGCATATTTCAAGTAACACCCATAAATTATGCTGAAATATGTAATAAATTTCAGTATCAGAAGTGATTATAAAAAGCTCAAATAGCTGATGATTTGTCTTACATTATGTGAACAAGTTATCCCATGCAATAGTAACTGGAAATATTATTGTTATAAAAGTTGTCTAGAGTTACAGATGTTAATCCTACTGAGAAAAAACAGATACACAGCAAGCAGTTCCGTAACATCAGTTCTTGAAAATGCTGGGTTTTATCCAAATACTGGTTTTCATGCAATTTTGGCCGTAAGTTCCAATAATGCCTTCCATTTGTCCATCTATTTTCTATTCAGACATAAGAAGTCTCTTGTGAAATGCTTAAACCTAATTAGAGCTTATCAAAATGACAATATGTAACTTTCTTTCTAGAAGGTTCTGATCTCATTCTCACGTTTACTGTGTTTTATATGTTCACATATTCTTTGCAATATTGTTGTAGTGAAGAAGGGTAAGTTTTAACTGTGATGTTTATAACAAAAAAAAAAAAAAAAAAAAAAATCAAGCTATTCTCTTACCTCATTATTATTATTTAGAGAAAAATAATGGAATTAATAAAGCATTATCTGGATTCTAAAAAGCATTCAGTGTAACTGAAGGAAAGATAGGAAAAAAATATATACTTTTCAAAACAGGCCAATTACCAAAAAAAAAAAAAACAGTTTTATTCAGCAAATAAACATAAAAGAAATTTTTAAAAATTATACTTATTTCTCAAAATGTAAATCCAGTTTTAAGGAAATGGAGTTCCTTAAGATAAGACATTATGAGAAAAAATGCCTAGACTAGCCAACATAATGCTTCCTCAGAAAATTTCTGTAAGAATTTTAACTGTGGCTTCAGCCTTGGGTAGCTCATATGATATCATGCCCTTATGCTACATGGAACACAGTTCGGGGTTTGGCAGGCCCAGGTAACTCACTGTTAATGAAGAATATCATACTTCACACCTTCTCTTTGTCCCAAACATGCATTTTCTGATACTTCTGAGGTCACAGATCATCTGACAGTCATTTGAATTCCCCAATCCTGTAGAAAACTATCTTAATCAAAAATCCGCTAAATTGATGCAATTAATACATTATATCAGGAAAAAAAGATATTGGTGACAATGAATGAGACAGCCGGTAAGAACAACAGAACTGGCGGAGGCACACTCTCTTTGTCAGAAGCAGCTAGATCAATCTTGATTGCCTGTGCAACCACAGCCCAGCTTGCTAATAGCCTACCTCCCGAACAGCAAAGCCATCTACATGCAGTCTAGTGTGATCTGTTCTTCTGTATATGTCTCTACGTTCCTCTCTGTGCTCCACGAACATCTCTACCGTCAGTCCCAATGGAAAACAAGCAAACACTGCAACAACCAGGATCTGCTAACCCTGGTACAACTCTGCAGTGTGGCTGCTCACACAAGGAGCACACTAATGCAAATACTCAAAACCCTACAGTGCTATGATGAAAATAACTGCTGAGATGCTGTCCCTCTACTCTGCTACTGATGCGTAATATTTAATACATTGCATCTCATATTTAAATGATACAGCAAAACATGTGATTTGTTAACTGGAATTAAAATTAAGCATTGTTATGTTCAAGAGTTAATGTTCAACTTCTGGCTTCGTAAGTGAGGAGAAATCTGAAGAGTATGAAAAAAAAGAAAAAACACTGGAGCACTGCCATGCCTCATCTTCCAGAAGACATCCAAAACAGCCGTGAGTATTTAAGAAAAATGGACATGGGCCTTGAAAAACAGTCGTACAAGTTGCTACAATGGAGTTTTCTGAAGCCTCTTGAACTCTACAGGCGTTATGCAAATAACTACTGGAATTATCAGATTCTTCACGTGAAACACAAGCCATCGAGCACAAATCGAGGGTTTGGTGCAATACCACATCCAGCTAACACCGAGCATCTGATTTTTTTGGTAGGGTTGAACCGTACTATGGGAGACGGGAAGGACAAACCGCACAAAGACTTGCTGCTCGTTTCTGCCTCATGAAACCACGCTGACCACCTCCTAGTCTTCTCCTCTTCAAAACATCTGGCTGTTCTCAAGCTCCCGAACACTGGAGAAAATAAAACATCTTCCAGAAGAAGCCAGCAGAACCCCACCCTATGCTAGGAGGTCTCAGACCTCAGGATGCTGGGAATGGATGACACACTCCCACTTACACCACAGAGCCGAAGGCACGAGAGACGTGCCTCCCCATTCTGGCAGAGGCCACGACCCGGCACCTCAGCGCGGCACAGCACCCTTCCTTCACACGGGCTTCCAGCCGGCCCCACACCGGCTGCGGCCAGAGGAGCGCCGCGTCCCAGCAGAGAAGCAGCCACCCACGGGCACAAAGAGCAGGCACTTCCCGCATATTTTAATCACATCCGAAATAATACCGCCGGGCCTTCCATCAGGAGACGGCAGCGTCCAAAGGCATTTATTCCAGCGCACGCCGCGCTGTCATTTTCTGAGCCCACAGCTACCACGACAGAGAGAACGCGAACTTCTCCCTGCGCGCGACGCGCCTCCATCACCGAGCCCCCCCCGAGGCCCCCTCCCCGAACCTTCCTCCTCTCCTCCCCTCCCACCCCCGCCCCCTCCCCCCGGACCCCCACGCCGCCCCCCCTCCCCCCGCGCGCCCCCCGCCCGCCGCCCCTCCCCGCGCTGCCGCAGCCTCCCCGTGCCCGGCGGCCGCCGCTCCCCTGACAACCGCAGCGCCGGGCCCGGCCCCTCCCCGGCCCCGCGCACACAATGGGCCCGGCGCGAGGCCCCCTCCCCGCCCAGCCTCGCGGCGGCAGACGCTCCGCCGGCCCGGCCCGGCCCCTCCCGGCCCCCCGCCGCGCTGACCATCGCTGCGTTTGATCTCCACGTAGATCCCGATCTGGATCTTGCCGAAGTTGGCCGCTGCCATCGCTTCATGGGGTAGCCGAGGAGAGCGGAGACGCTGCCGAGCGGGCGCGCGGGAAGGCGCGCGCAGCAGCGGCGGGAGAGCGACCGCGGCGGCTCTGGCAGAGCGGCAGGGGAGGAGGGAAGGAGGGTCGGGGAGAGGGAGGAGGGGGGGGGGAGAGAAAAAAGGCGCCGGCCGGATACAACAGGCGCCGACCACCGCTGCGCCTGCGCGCTTCGCCGCGGCGTCACAGCGGGACCGGCTGACGGGGAGGCGGGGGCATAGCCGCTGCGGCCTTCGTTAGTCGCCCGTCCCCGCCTCGGCGGAAGGCGGTGCTGGGGCCGCGTGCACGGGGACGCCCGAGGTGGGGCCGAGGGGCTGCCCGGCGGCGCCCGAGCTGTTTGCTGGCGGCCGCGGGGCCGCGCGCGTGGGGCGTCGCGGTGCGCTGGGCCGGGCCGGGCCGGCGGGCTGCGCCTCCCGCACCTGTCCCCGAATGCGCGGCTCCAGATGGTGGCTGAGCCGCTCTGAAGTTTTAGCCTAATAGCTTTATCCGCCTGCCGTCTGCTCGCGGGTCGCTGCTGGCAGGTGGAGCGGCTTACAGGACGCTGCGGAGCAGCTCGCCCGCCTGCCTGCGGCTCTCGAAGCCGAGCAAGGCCGCGCTGACAGCAGCATCCCTCTGTCTCTGCCCCGCCGCTGCCCCGTGCTCCGTCTCCGTGTGGAACAAAGCGCAGTGCGCGTTCGTCGTTTCGGAGTGGTGACCCTGATGCCAGAAGAAGTCGAGACGCTGTCTTCTGGATTTCTCCTTGTGGTTCCAGCTGCCACAAAGCCACAGTGGATTAACCTTCTCTCACAGCTTTCTGGTCACCTTGGGCAGCATCACAATAAATACGCCTTAGCACGCAGCCTCTTCTTTCCCCAGCAAAGCCCATCTATTAAAAATAATCCCCCAATCCACGCTTCAGCCAGTACTGCCTAACGAGAGCTGACGCCTCACCGAGAGCTGCAGGCCACGGCCCCTCAGCCTCTGAGCCACATGGCTTCCCCCTGTCTCCACTTTCAGACCCACACTGAAACCAGAGCAACCCACTTGGCATTCGTGACTTTTGGCCCCTGCAGGCCTTCAGAACGCATGTATACAAGTGCACACGGAACAGAGCCAGGGAGGAACTGGCAAAAGGTTAAACAGTAGCAACTGTCTTGCACAGCTTGGTTGCTTGGTTGCGATTTGTGTTGGCATCTGTTCCGGTGTAAAACACCCTTTTGGTGAACTGTTAAGGAAAAAAAAAAGTATGAATGAAAGTATAGCACTTTTTTTTTAAATGCATTATAAGTTTTAAAAACTTACTCTTGCCCTTCATTTTTTATATGACAAATTTAAGTCTTGAATCACATTCAAGTTTATGCTGGAATTATGATACTAAAGGCAGTAAGAACTTATTTTGACTTTCTAGTTTGTTCATTGTCTATTTAATTTACAAAGTTATAGTCCGTTGAAAAACAGTGATGCTAAGCTGAGTGGTACGTCAGTACAGTAGAAGAAAGGGATGCCTTGGACACCTCTGAGAACCTAATGAGGTTCAGTAAAGCCAGTGGGTCAGGGAAATCCTAGGTATGAGTATAGACTGGGGGATGACCTCCTTGTGAGCAGCCCTGCTAAGGACTTGGGGGTCCTAATGGGTGAAAAGCAGGATGTGAGTCAGCAGTATGCACTTGCAGCCAGAAGGCCAATGATATCCTGGGCTGCATCAACAGAGGGTGGGCAGCAGGGAGAGGGAGGGGATTATCCCTCTCTACTCTGCCCTTGTGAGGAGGCCCCATCTGGAGTACTTTGTCCAGGCCTGGGGCCCCCAGCACAAGAAGGATATGGAGCTGTTGGAGTAGCTCCAGAAAAGAAGCATGAGATGATCAGGGTGATGGAGTACCTCTCCTGTGATGAAAGGTTGAGGGATTTGGGATTGTTTAACTTGGAGAATAGAAAGTTCTGAGGAGACCTCATTGTAATCTTCCAGTACCTGAAAGAAGCTTACAGGCAAGAGGGGGACTGATTTTTCATTCTGGTTGATAGTGATAGGACAAGGGGAAATAGACTCAGAAGAGGTTTAAGCCATATGTTATGAAGAAATTCTTCACTAAGAGAGTAATAGGGCACAGGCACAAGCTGCCCAGAGAAGCTGTGAATGGCTTCAATTCTAATTATATTGTATTATAGTGTGTTATCTTGCATTCCAATACTATATTTAGTAAATTAGTTTGTTTCTCCTCAGATAGTTGCCGCTGTTTTTAATTACCTTGGGGTCCCCTGTTTCCTTTTTCTGGAGGCACAGATTCGCAAAATCCCTCCACCCTGCTAGTCATGGAACCGGGCTGAACCAGCCCATAAACCGTTGACAAAATATAATGAAATATAAAATCTCATTTTCATGTAGCAACATCCGATGGTAAATTTTGCTGTATTCAAAACTTTACATGGCCTTACCTGAGAGTTCAGGTGTTCAAAAAAACCACTCAAAATCTTCATAACTGTTCTTATGTCTTCCTCAACTGCTCTCTAATTTCCTTCTGAAAAATTCTGCTAGTTATCTTTCCAAATGAAGCTGATGTATTATTTTAATGATAATACATTCTGTGTTATTGTTTATTAATTAAATATTAGGGGAAAAAAAAAAAAAAAGGATGTTAGCTTTTTTGCTTTCACCTTAGCATAACAGTAATGTATCTGTAGTGGAGAATCCTAGTGCTGTAGCTGTAGTTACAAAACTCAAACATACTTGTCATATGTCACTTGCACACCTTAAATACAGCTGTTGGTGAGATACAGACATTCATACTATCATGACAAAATGTTCTTCAGCAGTGTTTTGTAAACAGAGCAGATTTAAGCAAATAATAATAATTTTAAAAATATAATATAATTATAATTATATAATTATATAAAATATAATTATATTTTAAAAATATAATAATTTATAATTCCTCCATTGGTCACTGGTATCATCCCACAGCACTCTGCTAATTCCTGATGTGGCTTTTCTTATTCCTCCTCCATGTGCTCCTCAAGAAAGACAGATTTCCCAAAAGTCTCTCATCCGCAAATGGCCTGTTTGCATGTTTTCAATTTTTTTTTTCTTTTATTTACTTCCATGTGGTTTCTCAAGGTAATTCTAGATCTTGCCTCAGAAAAATCATAAGGCTGCCATATGGGTGCATGATCAGACCAAAGAAAATAAGAAAATGTGAGGCTCACAGACCGCTAATGTTATCAAGAACATCACTCTGCATATGGAAACTCTGGTACATTTCAATCAGTTTGGAAGGTCAGCCAGAAAAGCGGAGAAGAGAAATTGTTGATTACATTTACCCCTAAAACAAATGCATATACCTAGATTAAACTAATTTCACTTACTGCTTTATTATTGCAATATGAGCTGCACATCTAAAAACTATATTTCATACAGAAAAATAGAGCGTTGCTAGATACCAGATTAAGAATCAAAAAGTGAAGAAGGGTAAGAATGTATCCTGGGCTCTCCAAAGAAGGCATGAGAAAAACATTGTTCATTTGGGAAAAGCTCAGCTTGCTTTATGGCAATGACCTTCACTTTTGCTCTGTATCTGCAAATTCAGTGACAACATTTTTGCTTTTTTTATATGCATAATATTTGTGTACATTGGCCAAATTAGTCATAGTATGTAACATCTTATAGCAGTCTCAAAAAGCTCACTAGTTCAAAAGTCACAGATTGATAGAAGTGCTGAGAAATAACCAAGGTCAACACGCTAATTGCAGTAGACAGTGATGTGATCATTGTGGCTCTGATTCATGCATTATATCTTCTCTTTTTCATTCCATATGTTGCTGCTGAATGTCTGGCCCAAGGAAGCTATGTGTCTAGTCATATTTAATTATGCTTTTCTACTGATTGTATGGAACACAAGTAAAATTCCTGCAAGATAGCAAACTACTTCAGAAAAATCATGAGCAAAGGCAGATGAACCTACATCTCCTCCCAAGCCTCCTGCTGCCAACAGGTAAGTCCAGAATAGCTATGCTATGGATGTTTAGCCTTCATCCTCCTCTTTTATCTTGTCTCTCTGCTTCCCAAAACTTTAACAGAAATCTCAGAGGCTTTGTAGTAAAACAACTGGGCTTTTCATCTGAATGAAATGCACTACTTACAACCTTCTGCAACCCAATGCAACATTTTGATCAGGTGTGCCATACTGCTTGTGAAAATGTCTTTTGCATGAAAGTATCTGTCTTGTAGCTTAGTTTAATGATTAGATCCCATCTTCACACCTATCCTGCCTTGTAAAAACAGGATGGTTTCTTTATCCTGGAACTTTCTATATATTTCTGCATCATTAGCGCATAGTATAAGCAATAACAGATATTTATACCTATGGTATTTTTGCCTTAACACAAAATATTTTAGAACATTCTTGTGTTGGAATTTTAATGCAGGTTGATAGTGATAGGACAAGGGGAAATTGACAATTAGATTGTCAATGTGCTTGTTTATGTTTTTACCATCTTATAATGCTCTTTCATAAATGCACAACAACTTTTATGTAATTATTTAGAAGTACTTATGTAATTCTCTGGAAACACCGAGAGGGGCTCTGGGCATGGTGATATACACAGAGAACATGAAATTAAATCCTGAGCATACCCATTCAAACTGTAATAGAGAGGTTAAAAGAAAAAAAAGAAAAAGAGCTTTCTGAAGATTTTCTGTCAGCAGGCAGTGAGGACCTAAATTCAAACTAAAAAGATAATTTAAAGTCAGATAGTTTGCAAGTCAGTGGGTTTTATTCCACATATCCTGTAAGAAAGCATATGAAATATGTATACAGTAATCCCAAGCTTGCTTCTAAGTTCTCACATAGGCCACTGACACTACAAATGCTGCTGCTAATTCTTTGGCTATGCAAATGAAGAACAGAAGGGCATGCTGTTTAATTATAATGATGCATAATTTTATAAAGTAAAAATATTGCAGCTTTCTTTTTTTTTAATTGAAGTCATTTAAACTGCCC